GATGTAAAAAAATAAAAATAAAAAATGAATGAATGAATGAATGAATAGTGTCTCAGATTCAACCTTTAATATCTGTGTGTACTATTTTCAATGAAATATAGATGATTTTGATGATTTGTAAGTCATTTAATTCATAGACACACATCCCAGAAGCTTTATAAAATTAATCTAAGGAGCAAATACTGCATCTGTTTGGTTAAACTCATGTTCTGTGCTCGTAACCTGAAACCAGTGGTCACATTCATTCATTCTGAATGGCCACTAGGCAGTGATCTGGGTCTTGGCCTGGTATTGAATGGACACTTTATGTATTTTAGACCTAAATCATAATTAATGGTGAATTTATGGCAAATGTCACCGCTCTGCACCCTGGTGTCCTTATTTTATTTTCACTGAATAGCCAGTCAAGAGTTTCAGAAGGTAATTTACAAGACAGCATCAAGAGCAACTGTATATTAGTGCTTAATGTTTGCAGTTGTTTATTGCTTCCCTTTATGAGTGTGTGCGTGTGTGTGCTGTAATCAATTAATCAATACCTTTGAGGAGCTCATAGTCACTCATTCCTTCTGGATAAATTTTCCCATTTGCAGCCTCCCCCCTTCTCTCCTACCCTACAAACTTATACACACAAATAAAGCACCACTTCCCTTATTTAATTACCATCTAACTTGTACCTGATGAGTTTACGCTGTATTTTATCTTGTCTCAATTACTGGAGACAGTATAATAAAAGACATGCTCCTAGCATCCTCATCTCAGTGAGAGTTACTTAGCTGGGGATGGAGCCAAAACGCTGTCCCATCTGTGTGAATGGGCCCCAGCAGAGCAACCAGACACTTTCATCAGTGCCAGTCATTCTGCTTAACGTCTTTGTCTACTTTGTTGCTACTATAGTGGCCATTCTGCAGCCAGCATCATGTACAGCATTGATCGATCTTATGATCTAATCCCCTTTTTCTCCGCTGCTGCCGGACTCCCTTCGATCTTTTGCCGCTGCAGCCACTGGTACATTGATGTCTTTATAAACCTGTCCACAGTTCATGCTACCCTGCATCTTTAATTCTTTAATTTCCTCTGTACACAGTGTCCCTTAAAGTATACACATGATGTTTCCCTGTGCACATACAAGGCACTTCTTTTTTTTAGATTTGTCATAATTTGTCATGTTTCAGATCATCAAACTGATTTTAATTTTAGACAAAGAAAACCCAAGTAAAGACAAAATAGTTTTTAAATGATGATTTAAAAACTTAATTGCTCCTTTGTTTAAAAAAAAGAAAAAAAGAGTAAATGCTCTCCCTTGTTAAATCATTAACTACCATTAGTAGTAAGGGTGGGAGTGGGGGGGAGGAGGAAAGGGTTACAAAGCCATTTTTAGGGCTTTGGGACTCCAGCAAGGAAACCTGGAACAGTGGTTGATGGTGAACCTTCCCAGGGGTGGCCAACCTACCAAAATTAATAATTCTCAACTCAATAATGGGTCACAAAAGAACCCAGGACAACATCTGAAGAACTGCAAGCCTCACTTACCTCTGTTAAGGTCAGAGTTGATGATTCAATAATAAGAAAGAGACTGGGCAAAAATGGCATTGATGGGAGAGCACCAAGGAGAAAACCACTGCTGAGCAAAAAGAAAACAGAGACTCGTCTCACATTTGCCCAAAAAAAAAAAAACCATCTTGATGATAAAATTGAACTTTATCAGGTTTGAGACTTGTTACATCTCGATTAAAACTAAGATAGTATTTCATAAACGGAACATCATACCAGCAGTCCAGCATGGTGGTGATAGTGTGATGGTCTGGGGCTGCTTTGCTGTTTCAGGACCTGGACAACTTGAACCATAAATTCTGCTCTCTAACATAAAACCCTGAAAGAGAATGTCCGGCCACCAGGGGCTGAAGGAAAAAAAAGAAATGAAACAAAATAAAGCTTTTGGAGACTTAAATCTGATTGAGATGCTTTGCCATCATCCTATATTGGCCCCAAAACACTCAAAAACGCTCCAAAGTGGCTAAATTCAAACAATTCTGCAAGAAAGAGTTGGACAAAATTCTTCCACAGTGATCTGAAAGACTTATTGCCAGTTATAACAAATGCTTGATTGTAGTTCTTGCTGCTAAGGGTGGCACAACCAGTTATTAGGTTTAGGGGGCATTTTTTCCCCCTAATATATAAAATTATCATTTAAAAACTGTATTTTCTATTTACTTGGGTTATGAAGCATTAAAACTTGCTTAACGAGCAGAAACTTTTAAGTGTGACAAATACGCACACAACTAAAAAAAGAGGACGAGGCCAATTCTTTTTCTTATTATATGCGTGCATGAGAAATCCTTGAGGTATTACTCATTTGGTCTGAACCTGACTTGACCCCGCAAGAGAGTGAGGTGATTTTCTTCCTTGGCTTGCTCCATCACTGAAGCCTCACTTCCTCATAAATACTTCAGGTTCTCAGTGTTCAAGGTTTAAAGCGATTTCCCTAAAATTAAGTTTCTGAGCTTGGGCTAATCCATCACTGCCATTTACTCTGCTTCCAGACAGGGTTTTTCTTTACAGGTTTATTAAATTAATACCTTTTCTGCCTGGCTTGTGGGAAAGGTCTGAATGAATTATGATTCCACACAGTATGAGTTAAATCATGCTTTTCAAACATGAAGATAAGTGAGGTGTCTCTCTTGGCGTGTGTGTTGCTCATTCTATCTCACTCTATCTAACTAATGGTGCACAAATGTCCTGTGACTGTGTGCGAGGCACATCATTAGGTAAATCTTTCTCTTTTTTTTTCTTGGCTCTTCTCCACTGGCAGATGGGGTTTGACATTGTTCCCTGGGAACGGATTGGTGCTGGGGAAAGTCTCCGAGGTATTTGCTAATGATACCGTTATGCTGAACTACCTCTTTGTCACCTCAGGTGTTGAGCTACTAATCTGTTAGTATTGGCTGGTACAGAGGGTTGTTGCAGAGGGCCGAGAGCCACTGGGAGAGCAGTGGCACAGTGGGGCCAAGCTCCAGCCCCTCTGCTGACCTTGGTGAAGGATAGAAAGGATATGAAGCTGTGCTACACCAGAGCTGTAACTGCAAAACTGCAGCACTGCTCAGGATCGCCTACTACTACGAAAGCCATTTCTGAAACGGAAGCATCAGGGAAATGAAAAAACAAAAGGTCTAAGAAACAACAGCAGTCAGTCATACAGGCTGCAAATAAGTCACCATTACAGCTAATTTATGTATATAATTGATTCTGAAGGTAAAAATAGATATGAACAATGCTGCTGTTCTTGTCTGCAAAAAAATCAATCTATAGGACTGATGGCCAAAATTACAAAAAGGACCTAAAAATGAGAAAAATCCTTGAACTAAATTTGTATCTTTCTCTGTTCTCGTTTTCATTCTTCCTGTTCCAACTGCCCCTCCTTCCTTTCTGGCTCTCTCTCTGATTCTCTTTTGGACGAATCCCAATGCCTTTGAACCGGCTGCACCCCGCTTTCTCTCTCTCAGTGTCTGCCTCCTTCATTCTGAGCTCAAGCAAAGGAAAGAGTAGAATAAATTGCATCCTCTCTTCTCCTCTGACAGACATTGCCCGTAGCTTTACTCCTATGGGGGACAGGTAACAACAGATAGTGGTTATTTTCAAAGGACAGCACTGCCTTTCTCAGTGATGCTTGTGAAAAAAGATGGCAACCCCGTGTGTGCGCATACACACTTTCCTGTTTAGAGTACCTCTGGTTAGCGTGCCTGGTTGGATGCATGACTGTACACGCATTGGAAAAGCCCTGTGTGGCTCCTGCAAATGTATCAATATTTACCGCCCATAACTCCCTACGCATCTCAACAGGTCAGTTTCTGATTGGAAAAACTTGAAATGGAGCTCAAGGGTGGATTTAAGGCAAGTGTGACACTTATCTTCAGCCACAATGTACCTGTGCAAAGAAGAAGCACACTAGGGACACTCCAGACTAATGGAGTGTTCATATATCACCGTGGAGATGGCTGTATAAGGCACCAGTGGGAATAATAGCATGTAAAGTGCATCAAAGCCGGGATCGGGCAGTCCAACTAATGCAAGCTTTGCCTCTACTTCACTCTCAAACGCGCAGGCAGGTATGAGAGGAGAAACAATTCTTGTGCTGAGAACAAAACAAAGTTGAAGAAATTGTCATTTAGTTAAGAAAACATCTGCGTCATGCGTGTATATGTGTCATGTGTGTGTATATGCATCCTCCAAATGGTGCAAGTGCAGCCCCACTGTTGTACCAGGAGAGCTACATTATTGAACCAGTCAGTCATACTGAGCTCAAACACGAGGGAACCAAGAAGTTAACTTTCAGCCAGGCTCTTAACAAAAAAAGTCAACAAGCTAGACAGTTTCCTGAAAGAAAGTTTTGCCTTCTCAAGCAGTGAAAAGCAGAGACAAGAATTTCAATTTAAACTTGAGTGACCTTTCACCTCCTTTCTTGGTGCTCTGATGTTTTAGCACTAAATATATGTTTACTGTCTACAATTAGTGACTGGTATTGATTTAACTACACTGCTTAGTGATGGCAGAAAAAAACAAACCTTAAAAACTGAAGGAAAGGTTGCAGAAAAAGCCAGAAAGAGAAGTTTTAAGAGGAACTGAGGGAAAGGACACCCTTTAATTCATACTTACAATTTCTTCATACTTATATATCATTTCAGTCCTAGCGAACTGTGTATTTATAATTCACATTCACTTTTTAAAATTCTTAAATCTAAGACTGTAAATTCGTTCCAGCATTCATTTCTTGCATTTTTTATGGCTTACATGAGGAATAGTGCCCTCTGCTGAAAAACATTTTAGGAGAATTCTGAACTGAGAAGGTTGAATACACTACAAATTTGCTCAATTTTGATGTTCCGTGTGTTTTATTGATTCGACCTTGAGTGTTCCCGTCAGATCTGAGTTCTGTTCAGCGAGACTCACGCCGTGTCTTCTTTGCCTTTCTGTGTCTCACACCGCCTTGCTCCCCCTCCACTCAGGTCAAACTGGCTGAAGCCATGCTGTGGACGAAGGGCAGCGCTGTGGCAGGTCTGTCTGCTGTCGGCAGGCTTCAACTGCTTCCTAGTGGCCTGTGTCATTCTGGTGGTGGTGCTGCTGCTGCTGGAGCTGCTCATAGACACCAAGCTGTTACAGTGTGAGTGAAAAATGAGGGAAAAATGTGGCTGGGATTTTTTTTTAAACTGGATACACCCTCATTTGCATAAAATGAATCATCAATGAAAATCATTGTGACGTAAATGTGAATTTAAGCAATCCTTGTCAAAACTACAATGATAATATATATTTATTAGTATTTTTAAAATCGTATAATATATTATTTTATAAGTAAAGAACTTTGACTAGAATACATTTCAGGCAAGTTTTTGTTTTTGCAAAGAAACTAAATCGCTGCTAACCTCATCTCGTAAATCTACTGTGTAATGAGAGAGTGTCATTTATGATCTGTTCTGGGACCCAAGGCTCTGATCAATCACGGTCTGGGGGGGAAAAAAACCTTCCATTAGTATTCCACAGTTAACACTGAATGGCAGGTGCTTGAAATTCCAGTCCGACCCATCTCACCCCAGTATCACCTTTTATCTACATTATCTGGCTCGGTGGAGACATCCTCATCTGTCATGAGCAGAGAGTCGGGAGCGTTGGCCTTTTTGATGTCAGAGGGCTAACACACATGGTCTTACACCAGCAATATCCAAATGCATTCAGGTCTTTACTGTTCCCCCGGGACCGACTCACTGAGCAGACAAAAGGAAAGTGAGACAAATGCGTGAAGGGAGATAGCGGACAAAGGAATCGAGCAACGCGGAGTCGGCTGCCGGGTGATTGTGGGGAGGACTGGAGGAAGATGAATTGACTGATAGACAGATCACTGAGCACAGCAAACAGAGACAGATGGGGAAGACGTGGGGCGTGACGAGAAGCGCTTCAGCTGACAGCGTAGTGCTGTTTGAGCTTGTCCACAATTAGCCTGATGAATAGAAAGAAGGCGCGTGCATGCACAGTATGCACTGGTTTCATACTTGTCATGATGCCTCATTCTTCAGTTGCGTTTTCCACAGATTTACTGCAACCTGTCAGTGTTATGCAGCATGTACACTGCAGGTTGTTTGTTATATTCCTAACAAAATCCAGCATCAACCTTTAACCACAGCTATCTCCTGATCAGTTTTTTCCTCTCTTTTTTTTATTCCCTTTAGTTAATAATGCATTCCAGTTTGCCAGCATCATCCACTGGATCAGCCTGGCCATTCTTTCTGTGTTCTTCACTGAGGTGAGTCTTCCTCCACTCGACGCAAAAAAACAGTCTCGCTTACAGCTGATGCAGCTGCCTCTTGATTAATGCTACGTTGTGCAGTATGTGTGGGCAAGTGAGTTACACTGGCAGATTCTCATTACAATACTAATAACGCCATGAAATGCCCGATGCCCTCTGTCACGGCATGATTAGATTGTGATTAGTGCAGGTGAACAAGAGCACACCTCCATTTATGGCGCTCATATATAAAAGATTTAAAATCGTGCACACATACCCTGAATGTGCACGTACAACCACTGCTGTTAAAGCTGGCACGCCCGGTTCCTTCTTAGATTGTTCGATTGATCTGCGGCATTTGTTTTTAAACTGAACCCTTCGGGCTTTTCTGTGCTGCCAGTTTTAAATAATTTCGAGGCCCCAGGTAAGTTCATTGTATTGTATTGATCACCGTTTTCCTCAGAGCCAGCCGCATTTGTCTTAGTTTCTTAAACTTGACCATCTGAGTGGTAACTTTTGTTTCGCTGGAGTCAACAGAGGGAACCCCTCAGTGTTACTCTGAAGCAGTGGATTCAGCAGTTTGACTGGTTTGTGGAGTTTGTTCAGAATGGCAGAAGATGGAGGTTTGTTTGCTCTCCGCAGTCGCTGCTGTGTCAGCAGAAGGAGATAGTGCGGTGCCTCTAATTTTTGCTCTTGCTGCGTGTGAATACAACTGATGAATTCGCACTGAAAGAATAAAAGAGGGGATGAAATGTCCCGTTTATTATTGACAATGACCACAGACTGCACTCTATCTCTCTCTGTCTCTCTCTCTCCGTCTCTCAATTTAGCTGTGATTGTATTCGTCCATCTTGCTCCTTTGTAACTTGCTCACTGTCCCTATCTCTGCCCCCCACCCCCATTCCTACTGTCTCAGACCGTGTTCAGGATCGTGGTGTTGGGGATATGGGATTACATCGAGAACAAAGTAGAGGTAGGCTCCCGTGAGTCCCATTAGTCCTGACTTGGGGCCCTCTTTCACTGCAGTGTCATTCCTTCAATGTCATAGCTCAGACTGGCAACTACATAAGCTCAGAGCAGTATAGCAGTAACCTGGTGTGCGTGTGTGTGTGTGTGTGTGTGTGTGTGTGTGTGTGTGTGTGTGTGTGTGTGTGTGTGTGCGCACTTTCTCAGGTGTTTGATGGAGCTGTCATCGTACTCTCTCTGGCCCCCATGGTGGCCTCCACAGTGGCCAATGGCCCCAGCAGCCCCTGGGATGCTATCGGTCTCATCGTTACGCTGCGGATCTGGAGGGTTAAGAGGATCATTGACGGTAAGGCTGGGAGGGGCTGGTGTCCCCTACATCCTGTCCTTTACTGTCAGTTAGATAATGCATAGTGCACCCAGTGGTATCAGCCTCTTTAATCTGCAGGTTGTTGGCTCACTTGAGACTTTTATCATTTTTTTATTATTATTTTTACCAGTAATGATAGTAGAAGGACATAATATGCGATAATGGATTCAGTACTTACAGAAAAGCCACTATAGGCAAATAATTTGATCATTTTTTCAGTATTTTCATTTAGAGAGAATAAATAAATCCTTTTTTCATGTTCATGTCCTTTCTTATAGTTTTTCTAAGAGATACTTTTTTTTTAAAAAAAAAACATTTCTGTTTCAAGTCAGCTGTCAGCACCTACACCAACCACTCAAATGATGCTGTGAAATCTAAAGCACTCCAAATATTCCTTCAAATCTTCTCTTAAAACATACAGCTCTTTTTACACAAGCTTTGCAGGTAGTAGTCCATGTCATCTGGCACCAACTTTGAAAATATGATGGCTTTTATTTTACAAGATAAAAATATCTTACTGAGTGTAATATGTCCTTTTCTTCCAGCCTATGTCCTGCAAGTAAAGGTGGAAATGGAGCTGGAGATCCAACAGTATGAGAAGGCCAAGGCTGTGAGGGAGGAACAGCTTGATCGACTCACCCAGATCTGCCAAGAACAGGCCGTATGTGTCCTTATCTCTTCTCTATCCCTCGTGCAACTTTATAGCTGTGTCTGACCAGCAGAGGGCAGCAAAGTGATGTGCACTAAAATAATAAATCTGCACTCAAAAGGACAAAGATGATAAGACAATCGATATGCATAATCTTTTTGCTGCAGTCTGGATATCACATAATCAGCACTATGCAATACCTCAGAGCAATATATGGGGTTGCGGTTCTGTCATTGTTTTAAGTCACATTACCAAAATAAAACAGTGAACATCACTGTGTTCTCCACTTCAATCCAGAAATGAAGACAAAGACTGTTTGTGTTCAAAATACTTGTGTGTCTTATTTTGAATTCCTCTGTCCTTTTCTCTCATCTTTTTCTTTTGTTAGTTTGAAATCAGGCAGCTCAGGGCCCACCTGGCTCAGCAGGACCTGGATCTTGTTGCCGAGCGTGAAGCAGCCATGCAGATCCACCATGTGTGGGGTAAACAGAGCAGCAGTTTCCAGGAGGTGGACGGTCTGGCCCCTGGGGCCTCTGAGCATCACAGGCCAAACAAAGTTAGAGAGCCTGGGGGTGCTGCAGGTAACTGTCCAGAATACCCAAGCTCTTTGTATTACAAGTTATCAACGACCTGTGTGCATGGGAAGGAGTCCAGGCTGCGCTTTCCGTGGTAAATCACGTCCATGCTTACACATGGAGAAGGGGGGATTTGTAGACTAAAAGAACCTGGCCAACCTTTGGGCTGGTTAGAAATTTTGAAAGAAATCCCTTCTGACTCAAAAACCTTGAACATTGCTCTGCTCTTCATGGTGGAGTGTTGGGCCATTAATCGTGGCCAACATACACGACACAGTGTCAGTGTCCTGTTTTCAAAAACGTTCAGCTCAGAGTCCACATCAAAATTCTGGTGCCGCACATAGATGGACTATAAACCTTTCACACAGTGACAGGTCATAACTTACAGGACTTAAAAGCAACAAAGCACTGTCAGTACAGGTGATGTCAGGGCTCCAAACACTGAGGCTTTTCCTTTATCAAAGCTATAAATCACAGTGCGATCTATCATACATCTGAGCCACAGTGTTTCTACTCAGACAACCTTTTAACTGGGCCTGAACCTCATATACTCATGTGGTATTGATCATCTGGTGATGGTCCTTTGGGACCTTGGAAAGCACTTAAGAGAAACTGTTTGACTCATTTACTATCTGTGAAACATTTCCACACACCAAAAGTGTTCATTACCATTGAGCTGAAATAATTTGTAAGCTAATATATTAATAGTAATTACTGATTAGTTGTTCAGTGGTAATAATATTTCAACCAAAAAGTATAAAACGTTTGCTAAATTCATATTTTGTAATAAAATCAATTTCCTGATTTATGTTTTATGTGATTGTAAGATGATCACCTTTTCAATTTGGACTGTTTTGTCACATAAAACAAGTACTTGAAAGAGTTTATTTTCATTTAAATTAAAGCACTGGTGTCAAACATAAGGCCCGGGGGCCAGAATCGGCCCAGCAAAGACTCCAATCCGGCCCCAGTGAACATGTTTTGAAAATGTGAAGGAGGGCATAGATTTTGGGCTTTTAACTGTATTTAAGTTTTACACTTTTTCCTACTGATAAAGACCTCCCCCACTGCCATTCATACTACACTACATTAAGTACTAGATGAGCAATACCAATTAAAATAGAGAAAGGTTCCAGCTTTTTCATTATCTGCCAGAGAAATTTCTATATTTTTTAGTGTGTGAACAGTTTGTGTCTACTATGCAGTTCGTCTTGTTTCCACATGCTTAAATAATGTGAGTTGCTGTCATGTGATTCACTGATTAGACATTTGCATTAACCAGCAGCTGAACAGTTGGACTCAATAAATTATTGGTTAGTGAGTGTCTAGATTTTATTGTATTCCAAGTCACCAGTCATACACAATTTCAATTATGCAATTTCAAAGTAGTTGAAATTCTTATGATGTAGCTTGATGTTAATAAATTGTCCCTTAATGTCAAGAAAACTATATTCATGATTTTTGGAAATTGAAAAGAAGATGAAGAAAATACTGAATGACAGATCTGTAATAATAAAATTCTATGATGATGTAAAATTTTTAGGCATTGTGATCAATTGCAAATTAACATTGAATGAACAAACAAATAATCTGTAGTCCATGCTTTTAGTTTGGACTACAAATCAGCTTCCACGTTCACTCTGAATTCCATTTTTCCTCTTTTGTCTTTTTAGATCATCATGGTCAAGATGACATGAACAACTATATCAGCCAGTACTACAGTGAGCCAAGCAGTGGTAAGCTTCAGCAGACTCTTTCTTCAATCAAAGTGGCACCACAATATTTCAGGCTCTTACACATTGTCTTGTTTTGTAGACACAGGGATCCCAGACCCAGCGCGAGTCATTACAACAGCAGCCATAGATGTGCACCTGCCTAACAACCCGAGTCAGCTACCGCCCTCTTTGGTAAGCGCCGAAGCGGTGCCGTCCAGCCGTTTGCAGCGCACAGGCAGCTCGGTCAGCGAAGCCTCCACAACCACAGTGTCCCGCGCCAGCTTCAGCACCCGTCAGCACAGCATCAGCAGCCACACACTTGGCTCCACCATGGACTGCAGCTCCACGGTGCGCGAGGCCTCCACGTCCACAGACTACAGCGACCAACGTTGCTACCCTCCGCCCTACAGCAGCCCTCTGGCTCTGGGCACTCAGCCGAGAGGGAGCCCCAGCGCTGTGGTGCAGGAGTTGCTCTCTTCTCTGTCTGAGGACTCATGTCTCACACAAAAGGGCCTCGACCCCGTCAACCTGAAACCACCCAGCCCAACAGGTTCCACAAAAACCAGCCCCGAGCTGGAACACAGGGTCAACATCTACAACAAGAGGAACCAGGAGAGCCGAGTCGGACTCAACTCCAAGACAGTCATCCATCTGCAGGGTAACGAGCCTCTCCTAGAGGAGAAGTATAGGATGATGGGGCCAGTAGATACTCAAATCAACCGTCTATCAGAGACATAAGAGCCTGTAAAATGTATAACTTCACAGGACTCGCTCTTTATTTCAGCCACAAAAATTATTGCTCTACTAAATTCCCAAACTTCGCTGCTGGGAGTCACTGGCACATAAACTGTATGTCTGACATCCTCTTTGTACTACTGGAGCTGAGAGGATGAACCCGTGGGAGCAGCACAAACAAAGGGCATGGATGAGAGAGGGAAGCAGATTTGTTATCAGGCAACACTTATCAGGAATTGAGACTCATAAAAACACTTTTACTAAAAGAAACCAGCAACGGGGCTTTTGTCCAAAACTGAAAATCACTTTTGATACATTAAAGTCTGATTTCTAGGAAATGAAACCAGTGAGAGGATGGTGCTGAGGGCTTAGTTCCTCTGATACACTTTGTAGATGTGGAGATAATGGTGTAGGGACTGATTTGAGATATAAAGTGAAAGTTTCTTTCTGAGTGTAATATGTATATGAGCCGTTTTGTCTGTCTAGAATCTCCAAACTCATAAAGAAAAGTCCTCTTTGATGGACTGCTGCAGGGTACCATTGGATCTTCTTTCTAATCTGTTTCTATATTTGCGTTAACATTTTTAATCTAAATTCTGTGAGTGAAGAGAGTGCAGAATCCTTTTGATTGATGGATGATTCGTGTTGAGTTTTTATCCAGATGCCATGACTGGAAACCGACCAAACCCAGCTGAGTCAATGTCTGAGATTTTGCAAACTATGGCATGACCATCACTCGACAAGCTAACTGAAAAACCTACCTACACATGACATATTTCACACAATTCAGGTCCATCTTTTTTTCTTTGTATTACTTTAATGTTTGGAAGTTGTGTAAATATTTCAGATTGGGTTTGGTCATCTAGTCGCAGCTCAAAAACAGCGAGGGACTCGAAAGCTAGAATAAAATGCTGAAGAGGACAGAATAGCATGAACCTCTCAGATTTGCCACCATATTGCAAAGTCTGTTTATTGTTCTGTCAACAGGTACTTTCTATCTTGATCATGGAAAGACATCATTGCAAAAAGAACCCAATAAAGTGAAAAACATGGCAAGTTAATAAAACAAGTCATTAGTGTCAATTAAATAAACTTTCTAAGAGCATGTCATTAGTCACATAACCTCTAAGTCAGCACGAAGAGCTACATCTTAGAAGGAATCACAGAGCTGAGAATTTCCAAAGATCTCCTTTAATGTCCCAGAAAGTTACATACAAATAACACATGTGCTACCGTAAGCAAAAAAAGGAAACCTCCAGCCAAAAGGTAAGTACAATGTATTTGCTGAGAGTAACGGAGAGAAGATGATGAAATTCTCTGCAAGCAGGACTCTCAGCTTTAAATATTTCTTAAGGTGGAGACTGGTCGTTCTCAGATTCTGGTGGGAGTTTGTCTCTCTTCACTTGCTGAGAGCTTCAGTCATCTCAGGAACAGCCTTAAAAGAAAAACAGTGAAGACATTTAGTGTTGGTCCACTATTTCGCACTAGCACTGTTCAACAAATGCATTGCATTACATTTCTCAGCTGCATGTTGGTACTCGGAAATTTATCAATAGTACACCAGGCTGCAGATACTGAAACATTCAATGATGAATTCAGAAAGACTTCTGGCCTAAAAAATAAATAACAACCCTGATAATGTAGTCTGTACAGTTTAGAAAAAACAGATTCAAAGGCCTCTTTTAGCTGCTAAATATAAGTGCGAGGCTATTAAAATTGTTGTTCTGGTGAGCTGAGCAACTTTCACATCAGAATCAGAGTACAACATGTAGTGAAAATCGTGTGTCCGAACTGCGGACAGGCTGCAGACATTCCAGGGCTTGGTTTCTAGCATGGGGGGGTCTAGGCAGGACCCTTACTGGATACCGGGTGGGAATCAAACTTGTGACTCCCACTCCGAAGGTGTGTAGTCTTACCACTACACTACCCAGCTGGGTATCAATTCACCATTTGGAGGCAGTAGTAGAAAGCCTATCCATTTTAATCAGTTATCTGTGGAACGATCACACGTAAGATGATCTCATTGCCCGGTAGGTCGCAACTCTGCTGCCACAAGCTATTATTACTAATCACTGCTACAGAGTTGGTCAGGACACCTGGGCTGCTCAGGCACTACTGAGGACCTAAATAAAACATGATCACCAGGACACAAATGAAAACAGACTTTTGCAGGCAGCACTGGACTCCACTGAGTCATGCTAGTACACCTGGCTCGCCATCCCAAAGTATCAGCTAGACACCTGAACGCAACTGAGCATATAAGAGGCCTGGCAAGCAGAGGCTTTAAAACCACACTGAAGCCAACTTCTGTAAGCTATTGATCTGTTTTTATATCTTCTGATATCAGGAGAGTTATAGCTTGCACTCTCCTCAGATTAATTCAAGAATTTAATAATTCAACGGTTGCACATTTCCATTAGGTGGAATAAGGCATCATGCAAAATTTATCCAGGAGAGAGCAAATGTTATATTCTGGCTATCACTCACGACTCGAGAAACATACAAAGTAAATCCAGGCATTGCTTGGTTGCTTCCTAATGTGGGATCATAGTGACATCATTATAGCCATATCAATCCCAGAGGCTTACTTTGAAAAGATCGGCTACCAAACCGTAGTCAGCCACCTGGAAAATAGGAGCTTCAGGGTCCTTGTTGATAGCAACAATAGTCTGAAGTGGAAAAATAAATAAATAAAAAAAACTCCATTTGGAATGACAAACTATTTAAAAAAATGTCTGATTTCTTTTGTGGAAATGAAACCTGCAAACATATATATATATCTTATTTATATATATTTTTAGAACTTGACTGCACTCCACGAGCGTCTGGCAGCACAAATGAACCAGCTGCTAGTTAACGAGAGACACCCAGAATGGCTAACCGAAGGTCGGACGGTCCTGATCCCCAAGGACCCCAAGAAGGGACCGGTCCCCTCCAACTACCGACCAATAACCTGCCTCAGTACTACATGGAAGCTCCTGTCAGGCATCATATCGGCTAAGATGAACAGGCACATGGGTCAATACATGAGGGGACACAGAAAGGAATTGGCAAGAATACCAGAGGCGCAAAACACCAGCTACTGGTAGACAGAACAGTCAGCCGAGACTGCAAGACCAGACTGACCAACCTGTGCACTGCCTGGATTGATTACAAGAAGGCCTATGACTCAATGCCCCACAGCTGGATACTGGAATGCCTAGAATTGTACAAGATCAATGGGACCCTAAGAGCCTTCATCAGGAACTCAATGGGGATGTGGCGTACAACACTAGAGGCCAACTCCAAGCCCATAGCACAAGTCACCATCAAGTGCGGGATCTACCAAGGAGATGCTCTGTCCCCACTGCTGTTCTGCATAGGCCTGAACCCCCTCAGTGAGATCATTAACAAGACTGGCTACGGATACCGACTACGGAACGGAGCAGTTGTCAGCCACCTCCTGTACATGGATGACATCAAGCTGTATGCCAAGAGTGAACGAGACATCGATTCACTGATCCACACTACCAGGCTATACAGCAATGACATTGGAATGTCGTTCGGACTGGAGAAGTGTAGTCGGATGGTAACAAAGAGAGGGAAGGTAGTCAGAACTGAGGGGATTGAACTACCAGAAGGCAACATTGCAGACATAGAGGACAGTTACAAGTACCTGGGGATCCCGCAGGCAAATGGGAACCATGAAGAGGCCGCTAGAAAGGCTGCAACCACCAAGTACCTGCAGAGGGTCAGGCAAGTCCTGAGGAGTCAGCTGAATGGTAAGAACAAGATCCGGGCCATCAACACGTACGCCCTGCCCGTGATCAGGTACCCTGCTGGGGTAATAGGCTGGCCAAAGGAGGAGATAGAAGCCACTGACATAAAGACAAGAAAGCTCCTTACCATGCATGGAGGGTTTCACCCCAAGTCCAGCACCCTGAGGCTGTACGCTAAGCGGAAGGAAGGGGGCCGGGGACTGGTGAGTGTCAGCACCACAGTCCAGGATGAGACAAGAACATCCAAGAATACATTGGGAAGATGGCCCCAACTGACCGAGTGCTCAGTGAATACCTCAGGCAGCAGAAACCCAAGAAAGAGGAGGGAGACGAGGAACCATCATGGAAGGACAGGCCCCTGCACGGTATGTACCACCGGCAGATAGAGGAGGTGGCTGATATCCAGAAATCCTACCAGTGGCTGGACAAAGCTGGACTGAAAGACAGCACAGAGGCACTAATCATGGCAGCACAAGAACAAGCTCTGAGTACAAGATCCATAGAGGCTGGGGTCTATCACACCAGGCAAGACCCCAGGTGCAGGCTGTGTAAAGATGCCCCAGAGACAATCCAGCACATAACAGCAGGGTGCAAGATGCTAGCAGGCAAGGCATACATGGAACGCCATAACCAAGTGGCCGGCATAGTGTACAGGAACATCTGTGCCGAGTATAACCTGGAAGTCCCGAGGTCAAAATGGGAGATGCCCCCAAGGGTGGTGGAGAATGACCGAGCTAAGATCCTGTGGGACTTCCAGATACAGACGGACAAAATGGTGGTGGCTAACCAACCGGACATAGTGGTGGTAGACAAACAGAAGAAGACGGCCGTAGTGATCGATGTAGCGGTTCCGAATGACAGCAATATCAGGAAGAAGGAACACGAGAAGCTGGAGAAATACCAAGGGCTCAGAGAAGAGCTCGAGAGGATGTGGAGGGTGAAGGTAACGGTGGTCCCCGTGGTAATCGGAGCACTAGGTGCGGTGACTCCCAAGCTAGGCGAGTGGCTCCAGCAGATCCCGGGAATAACATCGGAGATCTCTGTCCAGAAGAGCGCAGTCCTGGGAACAGCTAAGATACTGCGCAGGACCCTCAAGCTCCCAGGCCTCTGGTAGAGGACCCGAGCTTGAAGGATAAACCGCCCGCAGGGGCGTGCTGGGTGTTTTTTTTTTTTTATATATATATATATATATTTCATCTACTGTTTCAAAACTGTCATAGCTTTGTGAGAACTGATGTTCTTATCCTCTGAAATTTCCGAGTGCAACAATAACCCTGAACTAAAATATTCATATGGTATTAAAATGGTTGGGAGCGTTCTTCCAAGGAAGGTTCAGGAGATGTAGTAATGGCCGACCCTTTCCAAGCTCATCTAGAAACTATGCAGCCAGAATCCATGGCCTAGCCTTGAGCTTAAACTTCAGATCCTAAGCATGTAACACATGTAACATTTGCCTGGTTGTATTGTGCTTTTCATGTTCACAGGAGTTGTACATTGCTATTGGTATCTCAGGAGCCATCCAGCACCTGGCAGGAATGAAGGATAGCAAGGTAAAGTCACTGGAGCGGTGTGTGCTCCATTTTCTATTTTTCTGATTTTCTTCTCTTAACTTTGTTAGTTTGTAATAAACAGAATGGAAAGTTTCACTTCTAATATTAATTTTTTAAAAATAATAAAGTTGCACTTGGTGTTCTCTGGTGACTTAACATTGTGATCCAAAAACATGTTTACCTGGTATGGTTATGCTCAAAATACCCACTGAGATGATTTTGACCTTTGCTGTGGGTTTTAATTGTTTTTGTCTTGTTTATATCATGAATCTTTTATGTTAGCAGTGGGAGGAAAAATTCAATACATCTCAAATGCATAAATAGAA